AGCCCGAGAATATAACGGCCGATAATTTCGATATATAAAGCTTAACAAAATGACCGAAAAAGCCAATGGAAGTTAGCGGGGGAAGCTAAGCGCACCAATACATGAATACTGGTTTATCTTGTTTCACTGTCTTACAGGAGCTGTATCACGGCAGTCCAGTTCATTTTGTTTAATTTTGCCAATCACTCGCCCTCAATCGCCAAAGTAAGTAAAGAAATTACATGTACATGACAAAATCAGAGATCCCAGACAAACAAATACGTCTCCAGAGCATTATTTTTGAAGTTGCAAGCAGCAGGGATCAACTATGAAAAACTGCTAGGCTGAACAGTTTCCAAAAACCCTAATTTCAATCCGTTTTAATCTTCTTCAGTTTTGCCCATCCGTGGCATCTCATGTTTCTGTTATGTTATTTTAAGCTTCCTTTAAAGTTTTAAGCGGTTATTTTATGTTTCTCTTAATTTAACGGGCATTTTGTAATTTCCTAATTTGGCTGAATTTCGTGACACAGTTCCTTTAATCTACTACGTCAGTTCTATAACCTGTACCCATGAACTCTGAAAAATTGGAATCATGAAGACCAAACGGAAAGAAAAAACGACAAATCCACGACAAATCCGAGACCAGTCAACAGAAATGTCCAGACTCGGAGACACAACAACCGAGATACCTATCACGATTTCGAGATTGGGCCAAATTTTTCGGAGACCCACGTTTTTTAGGTACCATTCTATATTTGCTTTCGAGTGTTTTTCAAAACTAAATTAGGATGTTCTTTTTTATGTTGCATATTTTTAAGACCGAAGAGGTTGATTTAAAGAGACGTTACATTCCGAGTATTTGAGCCTTATTTGTTCACTAAATAATGAAACGGAAGAAAACATGATTATAAGTTTTACTTCCGTGAAGGTGAACTTTAGCGGGCGATTCCATTTCATCTCCTCGTCGTACTCCATCAATAACTTCTGTGGGATCTTCATCAAAATCTTCTGCTCTTAACTCCTCACCATTGACAGAAAATTTTTCATCTAAAAAGTAGGACGTGTAATTACCTATTAATATCATATGTGCGATTACCTATTAATATTATAGATGACAAATTACGCTCACAATCGCAGGTTTTTTATATGTTTCTCAAATTGATTATCGATAGTAGAACTCCGCGCACTGGCTTAAGTCAGTCATGAATTTAAGAATTTTTCGACAGAATACCTAATAGGATCCTTCTTGATGTTTTCTTTCGTTGTGTTTAGTTTTTCTAAGGCGTCTTTTATTGCCCTGACATCGTCTTTAAAAACTTTCCCGCCATCTTGGTACTGAGACATAAGTGACGTTGCCATGGCAATTTTGTATTTTTTTACATGTGAAATAATAAATCAGCGGAGGAGTAATTTGTCACCCATAATATCAATAAAAATATTAATCGATTAATTAATCAATTAAGTTACAATTCTAATGAATATCAACTTGATTGTTGCATCCATTTATATTTTAAGCATTTTAGGATTAAGGGCAAGTTAATTTGAAAAAATGAAGGCATGCCACCGATCGATTACATGTTTGGCGGTATATCTCTCGACAGTGAGATTTCAGCAGGAACCAAACATTGACTTTACTAAGCCTCTAATGGCAAGAAGGCTTTCATAGAGCGGTTGTTTTAACCCGTAAGCAACAGTTACCAGTACAGAGCGGCAGCTGTACTCTTGCTCTCTGAGAGCGTTTTCTCTCACGCGGCAAGCACGTGGGAGAAANTTTTATGTTTCTCTTAATTTAACGGGCATTTTGTAATTTCCTAATTTGGCTGAATTTCGTGACACAGTTCCTTTAATCTACTACGTTAGTTCTATAACCTGTACCCATGAACTCTGAAAAATTGGAATCATGAAGACCAAACGGAAAGAAAAAACGACAAATCCACGACTCCCGAGACCAGTCAACAGAAATGTCCAGACTCGGAGACACAACAACCGAGATACCTATCACGATTTCGAGATTGGGCCAAATTTTTCGGAGACCCACGTTTTTTAGGTACCATTCTATATTTGCTTTCGAGTGTTTTTCAAAACTAAATTAGGATGTTCTTTTTTATGTTGCATATTTTTAAGACCGAAGAGGTTGATTTAAAGAGACGTTACATTCCGAGTATTTGAGCCTTATTTGTTCACTAAATAATGAAACGGAAGAAAACATGATTATAAGTTTTACTTCCGTGAAGGTGAACTTTAGCGGGCGATTCCATTTCATCTCCTCGTCGTACTCCATCAATAACTTCTGTGGGATCTTCATCAAAATCTTCTGCTCTTAACTCCTCACCATTGACAGAAAATTTTTCATCTAAAAAGTAGGACGTGTAATTACCTATTAATATCATATGTGCGATTACCTATTAATATTATAGATGACAAATTACGCTCACAATCGCAGGTTTTTTATATGTTTCTCAAATTGATTATCGATAGTAGAACTCCGCGCACTGGCTTAAGTCAGTCATGAATTTAAGAATTTTTCGACAGAATACCTAATAGGATCCTTCTTGATGTTTTCTTTCGTTGTGTTTAGTTTTTCTAAGGCGTCTTTTATTGCCCTGACATCGTCTTTAAAAACTTTCCCGCCATCTTGGTACTGAGACATAAGTGACGTTGCCATGGCAATTTTGTATTTTTTTACATGTGAAATAATAAATCAGCGGAGGAGTAATTTGTCACCCATAATATCAATAAAAATATTAATCGATTAATTAATCAATTAAGTTACAATTCTAATGAATATCAACTTGATTGTTGCATCCATTTATATTTTAAGCATTTTAGGATTAAGGGCAAGTTAATTTGAAAAAATGAAGGCATGCCACCGATCGATTACATGTTTGGCGGTATATCTCTCGACAGTGAGATTTCAGCAGGAACCAAACATTGACTTTACTAAGCCTCTAATGGCAAGAAGGCTTTCATAGAGCGGTTGTTTTAACCCGTAAGCAACAGTTACCAGTACAGAGCGGCAGCTGTACTCTTGCTCTCTGAGAGCGTTTTCTCTCACGCGGCAAGCACGTGGGAGAAAACGTGGAACAATGATCTTGCAGATTTACTTCATAACTTTTACTTCATAACTTTACATACTCTTTCGTTATGAGAAAAAAAATAGCTTTACATTGTGCACGCAAATAAAAACCTTCCTCGAGTAAACATCCGCCTCCGAATGAACTGCGTGCGCACCCTGAATTGAAAGAATGCGGCATATATTCGAGGACTATAAGAAACAAACTGCCTCGTGCAACTGAGTAATCTACACCATTTATCCATCCATACATTAAACCTTAAGCATCCAATGGTTTACGAAATGTGATTTTGAAATAAACGCTACGTTCGAAAATACGACGCATCGGAAACGCCTCGGCGTTTCGTTGAGTATTTAATTTATAATTAAAGTCTTTTGCCAAGTGAACAAAGAAGGGTCAAATTATAACAAAAAATAGTACCATTAGGTGCTGGAGCTACAGCGGGTTCGTCCAGTTCATCCTCATTCGCTTCTCCATCAATGATTTCTGTGGAATCTACGTCAAAATCCTCACTATTGATGAGAGGCTCTTTATCTGAAAACCCAAAAAGAAAACGAAGTTACACTTCTGTTGAATTTTGCTGGTGTTTGATTTGTTGTTGTTCTTCGTTTTTAACGTTTTTTTAGGGGACATTATTTTCAGACAATCTTTCACCGCCGTTTAATTTATCTTATGCTACAGATCTGTCCAGCAACAACAACAAGGTATACAAGAAACTACACTAAGATAGCATTTTGTCGGCCTGTACACGTCTCAGTGGTTTCCCTGTGAATGCGGTTAAGTTGGCCAGAGTGGATGACCTGTACAAGGCAGTGTCAAGGATTATTATCGAGATTTCCCATCACTCGCTTTGGAAAGTTAATTATCGTTATCCTCATCGGCAACACGCGCGTTATTTATGAAGCGATTCACATAATTATTCTTTACCCGAAAAAGATCAGAACAACCGGAACAGTGGAATAAAAAGTCTAGAGGCAAGGATGCACACTATCAAGATATACGCACCAACCAAGATAGTCAACCACTACAACTCACTTTTACCCTGAAGATGACTACCAGACAGGTTGTAGGAACTTTAGTCACTGTCAGCAACGTTCGAATGCCCTACTTAGAACTACAGTAGCCTGCGAAAACAGCCGTTTCTGCTTGCTTTTCGCCGCTAAGGACGTTTTGCGAGGAATGAGGTCTGCGACTCAGCGACAGAAATTCATACTGATTGGTCGACGGAGTAGTTACATTGACTTAGCTATTGTTTACAAATGACAAACAAAAGACAAAAGGCCACGAAGGTCAAATGTAAGCGCGATGAATCTCAAACAAAACAGTCTAAATTGGTGGAATATATTCTTCTCTAGAAGAAGCATTTGAGTTTTGCTGGAGCTCGTTCGCAGATGAACACAACACTTTAGTAAAATCGACCAGGAGAAACGTAAAATTGAACAAATTGGAATGTGGAACCTCATGACCACCGGATATATTATGTAAACATTGATTTACGGCATCAGTATGGAATTTCTGTCGCTGAGTCGCAGACGTTTACCGCGCGAAACGTCCCCAGCGGCGAGGAGCGAGGAGAAACGGCTGTTTTCGCAGACTAGGACTACAGTCACCCTGACGATCTATGCTACCTTCTTATACAATGACTACTGAGGCTGAAACCATCGATTTTTAATAGAAAATCCTAACGACAGTGGACCGCTGAAAGAACAACTCACCGAAAGGACAAAGATAGAAATGAACCTGTTGAATGAAGAAATGTACTAAAAAGCGTTATGCATGTGCAGAACTGTTGTTTTGCTAATAAAACCAATTATTTATTGACACTGTCTTTGTTTTCGTCGTCTTGGTTGCTCCCTATTTCCTTATAAAGACTCGACTAGCAGTAAGCAGATATACATCACAAGTGACTACAATGTAAGATAATAACAATAACATTTTATGATTATTTCTTTAATTGACTAACCCTCGGCGGGAATTTCTTCCTGATCGTCTTTTTCTTCGACATCCATTAGCTCTGTTTCTGGCAATGAACTCTGTAAATGTAGGAATTTAAAAAAAGAAATTAATCCTTCGGTACATTTGCTAAAAGTACTCTGCTGCCTAGTGCGGCTTCGCTGTTTTAGATGGAATACTTAGCGGACCCTACTTTTTGCGCGCCATAGTACACGTTACAATCCTGATCAAAGCCTAGGATAAAGTTCAGTTTTAATCAGGGGTCCCTGGTTTTAATCGGCGAAGTTTTCCAACTAGATATCATTAGACCCTCAGTCTGAAAAATTAGGTTTCTTTTTCCTTCTATATTTGAGTCTTTTTAGAAGGAAAAGATTAAATTCTGCATTACTGTTTAATTAGCGTATTAAAGACGTACATATTTTAGTCATGGTTCTTAGTTTTTAAAAGGGCTGTGCCATAAGTTAGACGTCATGCACATTCATTGGCTTCCGATTTCCTACCTCCTTCTGTTCAAATTGTACTTCTGCTGTTTTACAAAGCTCTGAATGGACTGGCCCTTGGTACTTGATCGAAGTACCAGAAACCACATCAGGAAACTACGCTCAAATTTCTTAGCACTCCAAACAACTTCAATACTAAATCTTATTGTGATAGGGAATTTCACGTTTCAAGTTATGCCAAGTAAAAACCTAACTTTCTGAGTTGTGATCGGTTGTTTTACTAGTTTGTAACTATATTTTCTAAAGCAAAAAAAGTTAATAGACTTGTACGTACGTCATGGAATTATATTATGTAATGCGTGATTAAAAAAAAGCTAAATACAATTTTCCGTTTTTGTATGTACTGGCCGTAGAAAGAGATTTAACTCAAATGAATACAGTGAAACTCATGAAAAAGCAAAGAAAAACACTTGGAGCTATCTTTTTTATAAAAGTTCACTTACCTCTGGGATAAGGGATGCATGAGCTGTAAAAATCATCCCTGCGACTAAAAGCAACAAAAGGCGAGCCATCGTGTAAGCTGGTTGCCTTGATCCTCAACTCGGCGCTATGAAAGAGAAATGACACGACTGCGGTGAAAGCTATCAACTTTATTGACGTCTAAACATGAGTTCCTGCACGTTTCTTTGTTCACTACCCATCAATACTGCTCTATACAATTTTAAGTGTTATTGATGCGATCTTTAAGTGTTTTCCGAAAAGCTCTTTTAGTGAAATGGAAACTGGTCAAGATAAGGTAAGATTGGGAAGTGATACTTAAATTTTTAAAATCTACCTCTGAGAACCCCATCCAACTTAGCACGACTCAATATTTTTACTAAAGGTTGATAAACTGCAGTTGATTCCCTACTTGTGGACACACCCAACAGTTACAAAAACATCTGCGCCGGAAAATCTGAGAACTGGGGCAGCCTTTCCCGAGCAAGTAATATGTGCTTGCTTCAAGTGATATGTCCTTCCTCGAAAAGATATTTTATGAAAAACGGTTGTCGGGGCCCCTCGACAACCTTCTGCAGGAGTAACCACGGAATGGACTAAAATCCCGTCTAGGAGAGAGAAGCAATTGCACCAATAAGTGCTTCATGCTTGAAGGATGAATGGACCTTTGGGGCCACCCTGGCATTTGTATGTCTTTGCATTTCCTCATCATTCAGGACCGTTTTCACACTGGAGACGGATAATCCATCTTCAAAATCCGTCAAAATTAACTGATGAACAGATGGCTAAAGTCAGGTGGATTGTTCATCAAAAATTAAAGCCGTTCCTTTTTCAAATTATTATCTGTCTGGCGCGAATTATCCAACGCATAACTCGTCTCAGACGAATAATCCGTATCCAGTGTGAAAACGGCCATTGCTAACTGCCTTCTTTTGTCTGAGTCAAACGAAGTTTGAAGTTTTTTTCGTTGGAAAAAAATAAACCAATCTACTCTCTTCGGCAAGTTTAAATAAATATTTTATTATTATTAAAAAACTGTATGTAGCAAACTTTGAGAAATAACATGATAAAAAAAATTGTAAACTTACACAGAACCTTGGAGTAGGGTGCAGTTACATGTAATATCCAAAAGCCTGAAGAAGACAGACAGTGCCTTTCGGAAGTATTAGCAATGCGGGCACAATACTCGTTACATATTTCATGTTAGAGTTTTTCGAGAGGTACTTTTTCTCTGTCACGCCAATACTCTGCCAGAAGATACAGCAAGAGAACACAATGTTGGACCCATGATAAATACCACAGATAATACCCATATAATATTGGCATACATTTTGGATAGATACACGGATCTATAGATTGTTTATTGGTTACATAACCAGTGGCTTATATTTAGACCAAACTGAGGCCCGAAGGGCCGATAAAATTTTTTTGGACACCGCCCCACCTTATTTCATGGTCTGGATCCGGCACTGATTACAGCATTTCTGTAGCTGGGATGAGTAAAATACAATTCTAAGAATATGCCACCCTAATTTACAAAGATAATTTACCAACAATAAAAAAACCTTCAAATGGATACAAAATTCTTCTTTAATAGACATTGCGGAAATGAAGGTGTCTTTGAAAATATTTATACGAAAAACTGGAAAGGTCCTAATTGTGCTGTGTCTGGAGTTATTTTCTAAGTGGCAAAGACTGTGCCGGAGTTTGTGGTCAGTATTAGATTCCACTGACTCAAAACGCTCGCTACAAAGTTTTATCCTTTGAGATGCTCAAGTGAGCAGGATCAAATTACAAACGAATGATACGCGTGCGTGTGCGTAGAAAAGACGCAACAAAGCAGAACGCGTGTAATGGAATACAGATCGAAACACTCGAGTGCAGGCTTAATACAGATGCATACATTTTATCACGATTTTTTCAAGCCTTATCAGTTTTTAAAAGTATGAAGCAAGAATTGTAATTTAGTCGAACCTCTTCAATGAAACGTCAACATGGACAAGACGTATAAACACGTAACTGTTTCCTTAAGAACTTGCAGAGTCTCAACCCACGGTGTTTGTGCGCCACAAATAATCATTAGTATATCAGTATTGTTTTCAAGAATTTGAGGCACAATATCATGTAAAATTCATCTTCAAGTGTTTCAAGTGGTGCCCTAATTAGCCTCACAATTCAATGCTCTGTCAGAAGGCCACTACTATACTTAATATACAGCTGTACGTCTCTATTGCGGAACGTTAACACAATGGTCCAAAGATACCAAGTCATGTACAATTCCTTCCTCTGTAATACGCACATCTCTGTAACACTCATAATAGGGGCCAGTTTGTCGTTGGCTTTTTTAACTCCGCCTGTTCTGCTCGAATTCCAAAACAACTTCTCTTCTTGATAGCAACAGCATTAACTTTACTGCTCAATCACGAACAAATCTTACAGACTTCTGACTGCAATTTTCTTTGAGAGCGAAAAGCACATGTTATGACACCCCATAATACTCACGTAACAAAATTTCACGGTGTAGTTACATCACAAATCTACTCTCACGGGGGTTTGAGACAACTACCACTTCGGGTTGGGGCCGGAACACCGCTATCCCTACCAAAATTCCTAAACATTGTCTCAGTGAGGGTCATAATCCAGGTGGTTCTTATCGGTTATTCTATTCCCAGTTCTAAAAACGTTTAAGGTGTTCCTTACAAAGTCTCCAGATTCCCTTATCCGGCCATGGAGGACCAGCCGCAGAAACTAAAGAATAAAAGAGGCTATGACCTCAAAACAGGCACGTGTCAGCATGAAGGAAAATAAGTAGCCCAATATTATAAAGAGTGTTCAACATCCTGGAAAACTCCGCTTGCTTTTCTTAAAAAGACTATATGGTTTTTAAAACAACATTTTCCTGATCGTGCATAGTTAATCTACATATTCTGCATCACCGCCTTCATAAATAATATCATTACAATCTCGAAATGAAATGAATGCCGTGTAAAGCTTTTTTCTTCGTGGAGAATTGAATGAGAGAACGAAGGACGAGACTCAGGTGACAGTACACTTGAATAAACTTCGAAACATAAATGATGTATGAATTTTAATTCGTATGTGAAACGCTTTGATATTGGCGCCTCAGTTGAACCTTATCGACAAAACAGTTAGCCTCCCATGCCCTTTGGGGTTCGTTTGTCAAGAAATGAATGCGTGACAAAGGAACCCCAAAGGACGTCTGCGGGGAGGCTACAAAACAGTAAAGCGTGAACAAAGAGTATTAGTATCTGCCATTGGCCTATCGCGAACATCAGACTTGTCATAGTTTACTGGTGCAAGTGTTATGATGTGTTGTTACATTCCTAGACTTTCACTCAACTAAACAGGGACTGCCATTGGTTGATTCTTTGTCACATGGCCTTGACTGAAAAAGCAATGTACCTCACTCGGGGTTTGGCTCGGGCTATTGCATTACAGCACGTGATCAAATCATGGTGGAAAGTGGCGTGACAGAAGGCGAGAAAAATACTGCCAGGTCGTGCCAGTTTTCTTTTTCGTGAATGAACACAACAACGCAAAAACCAAGCCTCAGGCAAAAAAGCAACGATTTTTCCAGTTATCCCAGAAGTTCCTAGAAGAAAAACAGCAGCTAGTGGAAGAAAAAGATGGAGATAATGTAAGGAAAGTACTTTGTAAATCATTCATTAAGTGGTTTAGAGAATTAAATTTGTGTTGTTATAAGTACCGAGCCGACTGTTTTGGCTCGCTCCGGTTATTCTTTGGCTGCTGTCGACTTCGACTCGGGAAACATCAGGACTCTCGGGAAAACAAAACGAACTGTTTCCCTCGGGATCTGAAATTAAGTGTATAATATTAGCCATACACACAGCCCCGCTCGATTTCTCTCCCGCGATCTTGCAACCTCGTCCCCAGGGCTTTTCCCTTAAAAAATTGGAAAAGCCCTGGGGACGAGGTTGGAGATCTTGGAGTAACGGCAAACATCTAAATGATCTAAAGTTATTACATGCAGATAACATGGCTTGCTCGGTAGCAATAGTGTTCAAACGCAGGCAGCAAAACTTTTTAAGGAGGTGCTCCCGCGCACATGCCTCCTAAGGAACCAGGCCTGCCCTTGAGAGCCTGGTTGCTCGAGATATGGTTGTCTGGTATTATTATCTTCCGTCCCTCTCCGATCGGCTTTAATTTCCTGACCGACTTATTCATAACCAGCAAGCACTGATCTGATTTGACGTCTGTGAGGGGGTGACAGCAAGTTATCCACGATAGACGTCGCGTGCCGAATGGTGCCGTGGGGTGGCATTTTGACTCAGATGTTCTGGCAGTGCAGAGTATGAGAAAATGGCGAATACTTTTTAGACGAATCCATAATGGGAAATTGGGTAATTTTAATTTTCAGTGGACAAAAACCTTGTACCAGAATAATTAAAACAATGTCGCATTCTTTTTTACAATTAAAAAACGGCTAAAAATGTAATAAATCATCTGTAGTAACACCAAAGAAAATATCTCATGGAAGTCCGAGAAAATGAAGGTCGAATTTCAGAAGAATTGTGATTACGCAGGTAAAATTCTGAAAATTTCATGTGTAAGTTGTAATTTTGTGAAATCTGACTTTCATTTTCTCGGGCTGGTGAATTATTACAACTTTGGCCCTTGAAAAATGTAAGAAAGAATGCAATAAGCTTTAAATTATTCTGGTACAAAATTTTTGTCCACTGCAAATCAAATTTACTCAATGTCCTGGTGGATTCCGTCTTAACACGTTATGTGGGGACAAAATCGGTGAAGTGCTGCCTCTGAAGCAGAAAATTACCAAGAATATAGAAGGATGCACTCCTGGTGCAAGTCATCAATGTAGGTGAAATTCAAAAGGAGCAAGAGGAGGGCCGGCCACCTGGAAACCAGACGAAGGAGCCAGAACCTTCGACTTTAGGAGAACCCAGTTCATAAAGTTTGATGTCCCTTTCCGTCCGTTCACCTTTTCAGTGCCATCTTTAACTTTAAAATGAGGGTGTTTGCAAACGACGACTCACAGGTTTCCCCTCCTTGCCGAACAGTTTATCAGATCATAGTCCAGTAATAACATGACTTAAGGTTAACCGTAATTTAGATAATGATTCATCAAACGAGGCAATTATAAATGATTCTTTGACTCCTCTACCTAAACAGTTTCTTTTGGGAAAACGATTCGTCACAAAATTTAGAGCTACATTACAGTCTGAAGACATTCAAAGAATGATCCACGATTTTATGAATACTACACTCTAAATCCAAAAGATCTGTTTTAGCCCCAAAGTGCTGATTCAGCTCTATAGGCCCTGGAGCTGATTTGAACCTTCGTGGAGCCATTTTATCAATTTGATCTAAATCGACCCCAATAAAGACCATTGCAGCCCCATCGAAAACCGTTTTGGCCCAAAGGAGAAATTGTTTCATCCATGTGATGCGTATCGGCCCCTTTCACAAGAGCCATTTCTACTAAAAAAAAAAAAGAAGACATTTCAGGTTTTAGTCTAGTTTGCCCCTATTTAGGGCTGACTTGGCCTATACCAATAGAGCTGTTTAGAACCCATGACAACGCAAAATGGCCCGACCACTAGAACCAACACCGATTTGAAGAATATATGTTAATCTAATTAGTGTCTAGTCGGAAGCATTAGTTCCGCTAATCACTGAGTACGGGCCGCTTAATCTTTATCATCGAGAGCTTCGATAAAGGGTTTGTAGTTCGAAAGAGCAAGATAAGACATGGTTAGAAGCAAACAAGTTTACACAAGGAAGGTAGGAAGAGCCCACAGGCAAGTCGTCTTGAGTCACAACGATTTCTTAAATGGCGCATATTGGATCGAAGATCGTTGTTCTGAATCTGTCCATTTTTATATAGATGATTTTCTAGACGGAGACAGGAGCCCATCATGGAGATGATCATGATATGGTTACAGTGTATGAGGACGACAAAGAATGCCGCTTTTATTTTCCCCATTTTAGGGAAGGATTAAAATTTAAGAGGATAGTAAAGGCAGAGGCCGAGGAAAACCAGGTAAGAACATTTTATAGGTTATTGTAATTTTGCTTTCCCGCCAAGACATAATGATAGCGCGGGGTTTGGATACGAAAATACATACGTCACTCCCATAAATCCTTGCACACTACCAAACTGCGCGCGCATGTTTGAAATGTTTAGGCGGGCTTCCATTCAATTCAACGGTCAGGTCAACGGACGCTCAATATTTTAGCGAATTTCAGTTTGATTTTCGCTAGACTCGGCGATTTTACTCCAAGCGAGAGATAGATCGTGGATAGAAGATTCTTATCAAGATAACTGCCATGTTTTGCCTCATTTGTTTCGTAAGGGATCGAAGGATGACATCGCCGTTTGAAAGGTTTGTCATGTGCAGTGCTACATTATATAAAACTGATAGAATGAATTTTAATACACAACAATTTCAGACTATTTTGGAATCAAACAAGTTTTGCAAATAACACTTTGTACTTAAGTGATAAATATATCAGCAAATTTCGTGAGTTTCCATGCCATGGACATAGTTGAAGAAAGGCAATTTTGTTTACTCAGCTGCATCTTTTGACCTCAACTAGCCTGCAAATCAGTTCCAATAATATATTTCAAGTTTCTTTATTTTTCCACAAATTTTTAATAGAATGTTTGGCTGCTACATTTACATGTACATAGTAAGTGATCAAGGTATATTCCAGTTAGGTGAGAAGCTTTATGCTGAGGAATCCTTTCTGTTAGGCATTGATTGATCACTTTACAGTACAGTGTAATACTTATGAAAAATGATCAATGGTACATTTCTATTTTTTTCCTCAAATAACGATTTAGAAAGGTGATTTTTAATAGAATGTTTGGCTGCTACATGTACATGTACATAGTAGGTGATCAAGGTATATGCTAGTTAGGTGCGAAGCTTTATGTTGAGGAATCCTTTCTGTTAGGCATTGATTGATCACTTTACAGTACAGTGCAATGCTTAAAATGATCAATGGTACATTTCTATTTTTTTCCTCACATAACGATTTAGAAAGGTGATCAAGATATATTCCAGTTAGGTGCAAAGCTTCATGCTATGAAATCCTAAAATTATCTAGGCATTTATTGATCACTTTACAGTTAGACACAAAGCTCAGAGTAAAAATAAGATTCCTTGTCATTTGGTTGTCTTATTAAGAAGTCTTTAATTTTGTTCAAATACAAATTTACATTTTTCCTCCAGAAAGGTTTGGATGTTCATGCATGACTGGAACTTGTAGGCAAATTTTGGCATCACAGATTTTATTTAAGTTTTCTGTGTGGTTGTTTTAGAAGATAGGAGTAAAAGGAGACAAAGTGAAAGGAGAAAAGGCAGAAAACTATAAAAAAAACAAATCTTATAACTAAAACTAATCATTTGCTGGAAATGACAGAAAGAATCAGTGACCTTAAGACCAATTGTAGTGCCAGTGAAAGCACTTTGGATTCAAATACATGTAATAAAGCAATGGGAATTTTAAAACATAAATATTGAACTCTGAAAGAATTACGTATTAGTGTCTCACAGAAAATTAAAAGTAGTTAAAGAAATGATGCAACACCAACTCGTAGTTATGAAGACAGCTACAACAATGACGTCATATTAGGTCAGGGAAAGTTTGATGTCTTTACGCTGATGTCTTTGTCACTAAGTGGGGAATCAGTTAACGTCACAATTATTCTGAATTGACACTAAAGCAGGGTTCTCGTTAAATTTAGCTCAGCAGGTAAGGGACCATTCATGGCCAGTAAGGCAAAAAATGGTCCAGAGGTGCACTTTCCTAGGGGAAATGGGGGGGGGGGGTAGTGAAGTGAGGGACATGACCCTGCCCTTAGGGGCTAAGGTCTCTGAAATGTCATTCCTTCATTTGAAGACCTTTTTCACACGAATCAGTTGCTGTTATCTTTAGCCATAATTTTAAAAATGTTTGATTCCAGTATGTTTTTTGGTCCATAAAAAGAAAAGCTGTGCATACTTTAGTACTTTTCCACATATTCATTCATTTCTTTGATCGGATCGGATTGTAACTTGCGCATTTTTTAAACTTACAATATTTATTTTTAGTAAACCTTCAGCAGTTGCAGGCGGTAAGAACTGTTGCTTCAGGCAGTAAATTTTAATGGTTACTGCTTGATAAGGAGAACACTGTAAAAGAAACTGTTATTGATGAAGCCAATCTTTTGTCGTGCATCTATCATAAGGCATTCCCCTTTTTTTTGGTGTGTGTTTTCTGGAGGGTTGCATAACATGCTCATACTAGTCTAGAGGTTTGTGGAATGACAAGAAATCAAACACTCAGTTACCGTTTTTAGAGAGCTCTGTTAAACTGGAAGTAGATGTGTCACTGAAACATTATGGTTACACATTCTAATGCTTTGTTGCAAGGGATTTTACAGATGACATTAAAGGTGATAATAATTTTTTATCTCGATTTCCAAAGGTGTAACTTGGATGATTGGCAACCTAAAATAATAGTCTTTAATAAAGCATGCAAAATAGAATCATTGAGAGTCTAAATTCCTGCAAGCGAAAGAAGTTGACTCAAATCATGTCATACGCATATTGATCTAGCTCTGTATGATGGAAAATATCCCCCTTGCCCAGCCTCAGATGTCTTGAGCTTTGGGTATACATGCATGGTTAGGGAAATTGCCAAAACAAACAGGTCAGAATTATTATTGTATCTACCTGTATGAGCAAGTATAAAGGACTGACCAACATTTGATATACTGCTGGGGGATTGTAATTTAAAAAAAATTATGTTACAGGTCAAAGTTGGTTTCAGGTTAATTTTGATTTAATCTTGGTTGATTCTCAATTTTCTTTGTTTCCTAGCCCTAATTCATGAAAAATTAGGGCTAGGAGATAAAGAATATTTTTACAATACTGCAGGAGTGGTCATGTGACAGTTTTGTAACATAAGATATGTAGTTTTTATCGTATGAATTAATAAAGACTATTATTATTATTATTATTATTATTATTATTATTATTATTATTATTATTATTATTATTATAACAGTGAAACCTTTATTAAGCAGACACTAAGCTGGGTCTCGAAATTAACGCTTTATAGTTCCCTTTATAACGAACCCCTATTCAGCGGACACCTCTATTAAGCGGACGTGCACACTAAGATAACGTGTATTTTGCTAATTTCTATTGTTAAAAACCTCTATTAAGCAGACACTGGATTGAATTGATAATAGTAGTATTGGATTACATCCTTGAAATACGGACTGAAGTCGGTTAGTGTTTTCGCATTTACAAACAAACAATTAAGGTAGGTAATGAAAGGTAATGAACTTGAACGGCTTCTTTAACAACATGCAACTTTATCACAGTACAGAGTAACCGTTAAATGTTGATTGTTAACAAACATTGCGCAGTTTTTACAAACTCTATTAAGCAGACACTTGGGAAGGTCCCGAAGGTGTCCGCTTACTAGAGGTTTCACTGTATTATTATTATTATTGCTACTGAGTCAGACTTGCATGTATTAAAAGACTTTCATCTGTAATGTTATTGACTACTGGGTAAATTCATAGCTTAAACTGCTTAAAGCTTACATGTACGTTATTGCAACTTTATTTTAGGTGGCCATGTTACTTCCTATGATTAGCAGAGTTATGTAAGATTTGCATTTCTAGTTCTTGATAGATGATAACCATTCATTGTATTACACTACTTAACCACAGCTATCAAGAACAGTATTTTTCCCTTTTTGTCAATGTAAATTATCATGTTTATCATTGCCACATGTAGTCTAATTTGGGAAACTGTATGTTAGTAAGTGTACAACTTGTTGATGTTGTTCTTTCTTGCTTTTTTGACAGAGAAATGCTTCAGTTGATGCAGAAATAGCAACTTTCATATAACCGCAAACTGTTGCAATTGAAGAGGCCTTTGATTTCAACAAAGTGTACATTGGGTGTGACGGAATTATGTTATGCACCATTCTGCACCAGAGTATTGTAGAGAGTATAATGTCTTTGCTGTCATCATTTTATATAGTAAACTGTTAACATGGTAATGGTATATAAAGGTCATTCAGACCTTGTTGAGTGTCAACACACTCTTCAATGGCATTTTCAATTTGCAATAGTGAAATGTATAGAGAAAAGCTCTGCTAACTTAACAGAACAAATTTTTGCCTTCTTTTTCATACTTTTACGATTTGGGGGTTAAAACTTCTCAAGCAAAATGTCTTTAAAATGCTCAAAGGCTCCTAAGAAGTTATACTCACTTCTACTGTAATCATTACAGCTGAATGTA